TGAAACGAATATGCGACTTGTCATTGCAAACTGTCGTCTTCTTGCTACCATCTTTTTGTCGCTGAACCCGAAGATCCGAGCGAATGGACGGTTCATGATAAACAGTAAAGAAGATGGAGATAGATGAGTTCTCGGCAATGATGAGAATGAAAAATCTCGTGAATGGAAATAATTTTTTTAATAAATGATGAGATGGAAAATTGTATCGAGCAAAAGTAATCGCTAAATAAATCTGTAACAATAAGCACTATTTTATCTCTACAAGTTGTTCCGTAACACACACACATATATATATATATATATATATATATGACTTTTATAAAATTTTATTGATTAATATAATTATTGTTTTGCAGTAATTTTCATAACTTATATAATGGAAATGCTACAATATTTTTTTATAATTCAGTAGATAAAAAATTACTTTGCTTATAATAAATTTTTATTTTCATTAATCGATATCTACATTTTCGTTTAAATAATATCTTATTTGCTTTACATAATACTTTGAAGAAATTTTGTATATAAAAGTTTATTTCAAATAAAGCTATAATGTGAAATGTCACATAATATTTATCGGATTTAGATGTGCAAATTTTAGGTCTCTCGCTTAAATCAGAGTTTTGCAAATACTTCGTTATTTTTTTGTTTTATAATATTCTTTTCTCATGCTTTCTTGCTTCAAAATTGTTTGAAAACAAAATACGCGTATTATATAAGCGTTTGTAATAAAGTTCAAATTGTAAAGTCTGGATTGTTATTCTTCGCAGTTTAAAATATAGTTAAAAAGTTATGAACGACTTCTCCATCAAATTGTAATTTAAAATCGACTGATAAAAATTTTTCAATGATTTTTATTTAATGTATTTAAAATTTCAATACTATTTTTCAAGTAATATTCATTATGATACTTTAGAGATTCATTCGAAAGTTTTAACAAATTTGTAATCTATGGACTTTGTTATATAAATTTTTACTTAAAAAATCATTCTTTACATGGAATGTTTGACACTTTATATGAAACAATATATAAAAAAATTTGCTAAAATAGGATATCCAATTTTATGTAGATTTAGGTGAAACTTTTTAATATTCTATTGCAACCATTTATAACAAAAATGCCCCGAATGATTATTAAAAAATAAAAAAATTTTTATTATAGCTTGTATGACCCAATTTTATCAAAATATTCCCAAAGAATTTTTTGAAGGAAATATTAAAGAAATTAATATTCGTTTTGTTTAACATACAATGCATATTAAAGCATACAAACCGTCTTAAACATATTTTTTAGACATATACGAAAATTACTTTATATGTATTAATTTTGCTCCGTTAAAATAATCATTATAAAATACTTTAACTATGTTCAGTATAATTACAAGTATCCATGCAAATTTTAGTAATAAACTTTTTGAAGTATTTAGATTCATGAGATTAGCATAAACTTTAATTTATTAATCCGCCTAATATTAATCGTTATACTTGAAATTAAAATTAAAAATTTATTTCTTATTCGTTTAATTTCTTTAATATTATTGAAAGTATTCAATATATTTCATAATTTTAAATATTTGATATTTAATAGTATAGAATTTGATTCTTCAAGATTTTACGCTTTAAGAGACATCAGTATATAAATAAGTTAGATTTGAATTCATACATGACAATGCATTTTAATTTCATTATAAACTTGAGTTCAAGCTGAAAGGTTTATTGCCGCTGCTACATATTGCATATTCCATCATTCCTACAATTCGAGTAAAGATATTTCAGTAAGGACCACTTATCTAGAGCTACAGAGTCGTACTCAGTGTAAAAGTGTGTGCAAATGAGGAAATGGATGAGTGATTTAGTGAGTGTATGAGATACACGAGAAAGAGAGGGAGAGAGAGAGAGAGAGAGTGATGGTGAAACTATTTCCATTTAGTCGGAGGCAAAACTATTTGACCTATAAGAAATATCGACAGCAATTACCTCAGCATTACATTACTCAGTAATACCAGATATTACATCAGTCCAGCATGCAATTGACCTTTACAGGATCGGATTCTTGAAGAGGGTAAGCGTATTGGAGAGCCAATGGTATACTGAGGTACACGTCCTATAGAAAACTTGTTTAATTACATTTAGAAAATTACATTGATTGGGAAGGACTTGAAAGGGTAAAACTTCCCTACTTGTGAGTGGGGTGATCATTTAATTTTATTGACCAGGTCATGCTAATCTCGACATTGTTATCTTTGTGGTTAGTTGCCTCAAATATAATGCGTCGATTAATAATACCAACACCCACACAATTGTTCTAAAACTTCATATGCTATAACTATTTAACCACTAGTGATGAAATTTAAGTAGTTTTCTTGTTAACCTACAACCAGTATTTCCAGTTACCTCGATTATAAAATAAGATTAACTGAAATATTCCCTCGCTACTTTGGCTACTTTAAAAAAAAAATTTTTTTTTTTTCATTACAATTAATTCAATATTTTAAAAAACTCCTAAAATATCATAATTATTACACGCCTGAGAATAAAAAAAAAGTATGTTACACATCATTTATTTAATGCAATTTTCACTTGGTATATAAAAATCTCATTTAAAAAATATTAATTCCGTGTATTGCAAAAATAAAATATGCCAATAGTCACAAGATAATCAATAAATGTGAGAATAGTATATAGCATTTTAATATTTAAGTATTTGATTGTTTAACGAATTTTTGACAGCTATAGCCAATACGGCCATATATTTTGAAGTGTCAATTAGAAGTTCTTGTCATCAATCAGAATATATTTTAAATAAAATTCACTCTTGCAAATTGTATTAGGATAGTTAGAATAATTTTTTGAAAATTATCCGAATGAATATGCTTGTGAATTACTGTAAGTGCGCTGACATAGGAATATTCTAATGAAGTATTAATCGAATAGGGTACATGAAATGCAAAAGTTATTCTTACTTTGAGTGCTCAGAATTACCCAGCATAAACAAGGTACTGCTAACTTTAAGGATAAAAGCTACAGGAAGGAATGCGATAATAATCAAAGTAATTATATCCTTTATCAATACCCTATGCTCCTTAAAGTGCGGTATTTTTGCCGTTGATCGATTTGTTGATCCAGATGATTGTCTTTTTCCTTGCCCCTCAGCGAGAAATCAAGTTTGTGTTCATGGGTCGAGTCAAACTTATGCACACATAGATAGTCGCGTACATAAGCAGAAGGAAGACTACAGGGTTATCCTTCTGCTTTCAACTCTGAGAGTCTCACACCACTTAAAGGCCAAGAGAAATAAAATGAGAGACAGAGAAAGAGGAAGAAGAGAAAGCGCCCTAAGAGATAAAGGAGAAAGAGGCGAGCTTTGCATGGAAGGGAAAATCCTTTGGGCAGTGAAGCTTGGATAATCGCGCCCACTTGCCACGAGAGGAGAACCAGTATTATATACGTTTAGGAACGGTGAGATGGAGATGTAGAGAAACGGGAGAGGATCTTCCGGCTCACCTTGTCGCTGCTGCACTTGCAGTCTGCTTATCCACGTGGAAATTATAGCCTCTCTACGAGCAGGACGCGCAACCCATCGAGACTCGAAATCGTTTGGGATGGCAACCAAGCGTGCAGAATATCCCAAGGAAGGTGAAGTCGTTCTTTTCGTCTCTCTCGCCCTCCCTCAACTTTTTTTGTAGAAAGAGATGCTGGCCCTAGTGTCGAACGTATTCCACCCCCATTTTTCGTTTCCCTATCCTACTCTTACTCAGCTTTTCGCCCACACATATACGTAGGTGCGCGATGCGCGCGAGCACACCACACGCATGAACACACTTACTTTCCCTCTATCGTCTGCGCGGATAATTGAATTGAGTATGCCGACTGATTGAAACGGAAACTAAAACTGTCTTTGGGAGTACTCAGCATCGTTTGCTTGATCGCTTTGCGTACTAAAATAGAGCAAGGCACATTCAAAATTAGTCAAAGAATATGACAAATGAGATTATTTCTTTGCAAAGCACTTTTCTCATGAGTACTACAGTTCTAACTTTTCTTTATACGTATTTTTTTACGAAATTATTAGATATACCGTATACACAATTTCGAAATACTTTAGAGAATTAAGAAAGAATTTTAGTTTAAAGTAAATCTTTTGTGAAATTTATGTTGTTAAAGTATGAGACAAATCTTGATAAAAAAATTTTCTATGAATAAACTTATAAAGATATGAAAATATTATAATTTCGTTCATTTATCAATTAATGCATTAGTAATAAATGAATTTGTGTCTTTTCGTCTGTTCTTTAAATATCATAGAAATTAAAATATAATTTTTATCATTATACTTTAAATAATCATGTTGTTTAATATACAATTAGATTTTTTCTACTTCATTGACGGAAGATTTTTTTTTTTTTTTTTTTTTTAAATATAATTGACAGTTATTAAAATTCTAGATTATCGTAAGAATCGATTGAATAGTAAAAGTATATAGATAATACAAAAGCTTATAAAAAGACCTTTTCATGAAGCAAGGAAAAACTTAATTTCTTTACATTTTCAGCTATTTTTTTTTAAGTGTTCAATTCATGAAACTCAAATCATTCCTTGAATATATTTTTCTACAAAAGCGTTAAAAATAAGCTAAACTAAATTTCTAAATAATCTAAGGATAAATTTTATTTTATTCACTATTTATTAAGTTTATTTATTTATTATTTATACAATATTTTAAGTTTAATATATTTTGAATACCTTACCACATTTATTTGCAGAAGGAATTTATTAAAACAATCCAATAGATTAAAAATTGTTTTTGATTTATGAAACAGTAATAAATAATCTAGATAAATTAATAAATTTCTCTAATGTTACTGGTTCTATTTAAATTAGAATGTTTTTCCTATATGAATATATTAGATATACATTGTATAGTTTTTACTATATCTGAATTATCATAAACAATAACAAATATTGTATACAAATAGTTATAAGCAGTGAAAAAGACTAACCTCTGTGCCTATTGGTTTGCTTGTCGAACATCAGCATGGCATCTTCAATCTGTATAAAAACAGTGAAATCATCAGATTACTAAAAATATAACTATTATCAAATTTCATTTAAATAATAGATATTGCATTGATTATATATTTTAAATCATGATTAAATATTCAATATCTAATAGAGATATCCTAAGAATGTTTTTAATTATATGTAGGAATACAAAGTGTAACGGTTACTGTGTGAAATAAATATTTTTAATTTCTTTGGAATTATAAATAATTTTGAAGATAAGAAATCATAAAGCAATGACTGCATTGATTTATTTCATCCTTTAAAAAATTCCACTTTTTACTCTCATTTTCGTTATCAATAATAATATATAAGTGGTTGTCTATTTTTTATTTAGCGCTGTACAACTTTTCATGATACTTGCAAGATACATGAAGTCATGAATACACTTTGTAGAGATAAACTTTAAAAAATAAAAAGGATATCTTCAAGGAAGTAAGTAACCTTGTTTTAATGTTCGTATTATCGTGTCGAAGGAAAACTTGTAAAATGGGCACATTAAATGCACTGCAGGGTAATTAATAATTTGTAATTATTATATGTATTTTCATTTTTGTCCTAAATATTCATTCATGCTTGGTACCACTTGATAGACATCGAGAATCCCTAACATTTAATCTAGTCGATTTTTCACGTCTGTTGTTTCATTTTTGTATTTACTTTGTAGATAATTAAAAAAAAAAATTATTTTATTGTAATCCGAAAATATAATTGTAATAATTCGTATAACATATAAAATATAAAAAAACAATTAGGATATAAACTATGTTTTATATTCAACGTCGGTGAAATTAAACCGATAAATTTGATAAGTTATCGACTATTTTGCAATGAGGTTTTATTATTTATTAACTTATATCAAATTATAACTTGATCTACAGAATAGATTTAACATTTACCATTGTAAATGTGTATTACGTTGTAAACATAAAAAATTTAAAAACTATAATTATTATTATTGAAATAAACAACATACAGTATTGAAATTCATAATAATAAATACAAGAAATGGAAAGTAAAAATTGCAACATTCTACAGCATTTGAAATTCGTAGTGTATAATTTAATGAAAAAAAAGCATTTGATATTTAATTTCATTGTGTCATTTATATTTGATAATAAATTAAGTTCAATTGTTTCATAATAATAGCAATGGCAGTAATATTTTTTCTAATTATTAGCAAAATACAACTAAAATTACAATAATTATAAGATGCACCAAAGTGTTTTTGATTGCTAAATAAATAACACACAAAATTTCAATTCGCACGAGGAAAATGTCAGTGAATAATAACTTGTGATCTCAACTCAATTTCTTGATACATTGATGTACAGATAAATGCATTTAGAAACAAGATAAGGCAGTGAGTTCTAGTCACTATAGCAAATGAGATACAATTAATGAACAATAACTTTCACAAACTAAATTCTAATGTAAATGTAATATCATAAGGAAATAATCCTTAATTATAAAAAATGTTTAATAAAAGATATGATACTAAAGTAATGACAATAAAAGAAAATTATTTCGACAAACTCTTACAGATTAAAAGATAACCTAAATTTATACATTATATTAGGAAAAGAATAAAATCTGAAAATTATCATTTTAAATGCATGTAAATTATGATGAATTTTTATAAAGTAATTTTGTTCTAATCGATCATCCTTATAACGTGATGGGTAATATAAGTATAGCTATGCCTGTTTTCATATTATATAAAAACAATAGATTTATCAATTTTTAAATAACAAGATATAATCCACATAGCACATAGAATGAAACACAGCGTGTAATAATTATAAAGATAAAGATTCTCCCATAAAACATAAAGTAATTTACAACACGAGCTATTTCATCAGCTCACTATTATTTATTCATACCTTAGACCTCTTCTCCCTTATATCTAACTTGCAGTTAAATCAAAGTCTGCGTAGTTTATTTGATCTGAGCTTATCTTACGAGCATATGCTCGTGGATTCAAATGATGTCGTAAACAGATGAAGATATGAGACAAGCCAAGCTATAGCTCGCTTTGCAATAAAATAGACTGCGGAGAGTAAAGAGAAATATAAAGGGGTGACTGATATGTGCAATTCCGTCGATAACAGTTTCAACATCTATCTCCAGTACTATAAACAACGCGTATTATGTAATTAGATAATGTGAACCAATCAGAATTGCAAAGATATTATTGTAGACATATTCATGAATAAAATAGGAATGCTAATTCTTAATGAATTATTTAATAATTTTCTTCTATTTAAGTGGTTTTTTTTTTTACTTAATGAAAATAAGATAATAGTGCCACATTTTTCTTAATATTTCATGTAATTTCACTTTTATTTTTATTATCTTTCCTTCGCTTAATTTTCTAGATTCCTTTTTATTCGTATTACTTTGCTTCTTCTTCTTCTTCTTCTTCTTCTTCTTCTTTTTCTTCTTCGTCAATGATTTTTATCAGAATGAACGGTAACATTTTAAATTTTATTCTAGAAAAAGAGAAAATGCAGAACATAAGCGAGGAAAGTAAGGTAAGCAGACGAAAGGAACAAAATAGCCCGAGATATTTCGCTAGTATTTCTTTAGCTTTTGTTTGTAGAAATTTTAGACCCTCTTGCGAATATATTCACAAGGGAACAATGAATGTTCAGCTGGTTCAAAGTCGCGCCGTAGGTATAGCGAAGCGTATATCTTATTACAAGTTCGATTTCCAACGCCTTATAGCTCTCCATGGAACTGGACGCTAGATTGCTTCTGCCTTACCGACCTCAATGTTTCGATCACTATGGGGTCAACATACCTTCATCTACTAGTCATACACACACGTATGTGCGCATTTTAAATCGGATTCTCGTATTATGAAGATATATTTCTACATTACTTCAAATCTAATATCGTAATAATCGTTAATTATTAATAAACTACATATAATAAATAATATGATGATTACATTAAATCTATGTAATGGGAATAAAATTTTTTTCAACTCTAACTTATTTTCGAAATTGTTTATTTTTTAACATAGCTGGAGTGAACATTCTGTGACTTATTAGAAATGATCAGCAAGTTAGAGAGGAAAATTTATGGCGGTTTTGCATATCAAAGTGTGTGAGGGAGAATGGAATCGATGACTGTGGACCCATGATTATTCAAGCGAATAAGACTAACCTTAGACAGGTCATGAAAGTCATACTTGTTACTAAAAGATCATTTTAAAAGAAATATACAATTACATATCTTCATTGATTTACAAAAGTTAATAAATGTCCGGTCTCTTCAAGAAATTATTTGAAAAAATATATATATATGTATGTGTGCGTGTGTGCGCGCGAGCGTGTGTGTGTGTGTTCGTGCGCGTGTGTTTGTGTGTTTGTGTGTGTTTCTGTGTGTGTGTGCGTATAAAGATCGAGGGTATATGATGCTTATTATATATATCATTGCAGATACAAAATTCTATTGTATCTACAATCGATATGCTTAATTTAAATGCCGTGGACATTTATTTCTAATAAGATAATATTAATATTAAAATTCGATCAAATGATTATTAGGGAAATATTTATATTGACATTCAACCTATCGGTATTATAATAAATATATATTTAATTTAACGAGTGGCTCAAATTCATATTTGAAAGCATGTTAAATTAAAACATCATTGCAAGATCATAAGTTTATAGAAAAGTAGACGCACAATTGATAACAAAATCATTCTATTATATATTCAATTCATGTATTTGAAAATTTAATTGGGGAAGCTAAATTTGTGTCCACAATAACCCCTTTACAGTATTATTTAATTGTTTACATATCGATTGCAAACGCAATGTTAATAAGATTTTATCAGCAAGCTGTAAATGGAAATTATAAAGGCAGCTTATTAATAAAAGAATTATTTTCTCCTCCACCTACTTTTGTGCCTACTAATTTTCTTTCACCTTCTCGCCAGTTTTATGTTTCTCTTTTATCCAGTATTCATTGTTATGGTTCCTTAATTGGATGCAAATGTACAGAGTTAATCTATTGAATTTAAGCTTTGCAAATACAGAGGAGTGTAGTGATTTACTTTATATATGCTTACGGCTAATCTACAAGGACTTAGCTGTCGAAAGAAAAAGTTTTAGAAAAAGAAAAAGAAAAAGACATAAACTTTAACTTGCAATAGTACATAATATTAATTCTATAAGGCGATATATAATAAAATTTTTTATTTATTTAGTTATTCAAATTACTTGTATAGTTTCGTAATTTTTATGTGCCTTTCGCAGAAAGAATTTGTCCTTTCACGAACTAATTGTTAGTTCGTGATCCTTCGTTACAAAATTTCAAATAAATTTTTATATGAAATCAGAATACTTTTCAATATTATCAACATATAATAGTATAAATAATATAATATAATATATTATAATAAAATAATAATATAATATAATACAAATTGGAAGTTATACATCGCAATTTTAATAAATTACTTTTAAAATGTAAATCGTACGTATTTATGTTATTGTATTTGTAGAAACGAAACGTATTAAGGGTAGGGATATATCTGAAAAATTACAAAGTAGTTATAGTATTCTTGGATATAATAAATTTTGACAACATTTTAAAATAACATTAACAATTATATAAAAAAAATATACGAACTTCAATATAAATTAATAAAAATTGAAATTATTTTTGAATATTATTTGTGAATAAGAATTTCCAAATATGTTTGCATAATAATTTTGTGTTTGTATTGATCGCATAATCGACCGATGTATCTGTATAGAAGATTTAAAGTTATGTAGATTCAAAAACAACTTAAAAGACTCAAGTTTTGTTACAAGTATCGCTTCTTTTTTTCAGAAGCCTAGAAAGATTGACGAGTCGCATAAAATCCTGGTATACGAAGCAACCTCAGATAACGCTATACCGGATGTTCATACAGCGAAGCTCGTGGATAAGAATATCGCAAGTGGTTCGAAACTTGCAAGCGCCAAGAG